AAGTTAACGGAAAGGTTATCTCCATGTTCATACAATTGGAAAGGACGATTGATCTTTAATACATGCTAAGAAACTAAACTATCGCTTGGCTACTAAGCCCGGTGTAAATAAAGGAAGTTAAGAAGAAATCTTAAAAAAATAAAATGCTTGTTGTTGATTGATTTAATTTGCTGATGCCTTCCTTTTGTTTCTTTACTTCTATTTATAGGCAATCTTAGAGCGGTTTTCTGCTAACTCCCATAACTGTTGTGCGATTATCCTTATTGGCGCCAATTCTCCTTTTCAAATTAAAACTCCTGGTTTGCCTTATAGCTGGTGTACTCCACTTCCTGGGCCTTTGATTGGGTTCAACCTAGGCTAATCCACTTTACTTCCATCGTTTGACCAAAAGCCTTTAGTGTTTCGGGGTTTTTTGGAATCCCTCGGGATACAGGTCTTGAATATAGCCAGATAGCCGCATACACCTGCAAAATAATGAATATTCCGTTTGACGGATTATTCGCCTCCGATGATCAAGTTAGTGATCGGAAAACGAAAGTATTTTAGAGAGAGAAAGTAGAGAGAAGTTAGAGTAATTTAATATGCCTTCAACGATACGTCTCAATCCACCCTCCCATCATAAATGATTTGAGTATTTATAGGGGTTAGAATGTGTGCACTTTAGGGTTGGTGCCCTAAAAAGGAGTGATCTGATTGGCGGCGCAATCAGAGTAGGACATGTGTCCTTTAAGGGCATCGTTATGACGCTTTTCTTGGGATTTGGGCCTCCTGATGTAAGGAGGCCTTCTCTCTTTCACATGCTCCTTTGTTCTACCACGTGTCTGATAAGTGGTTTATTTGACCATGTATTGTGGTGATTTTAACCCAATTTTGTAATCTTATCCCCTCTTTCTAACCCCTTTTTGTTTATAAATGTTGTATCTTGGCTTTGACACCTCTTTGTATGTTTGTCCATGATTGTAGGTATAAGACTTACTTTGACAAGCAAACAAAGCTCGTAAAAGAACGCTAGAGGAGACAAACAATGAAGGGAGAGCCTGATCCTGGTGGAGCGGGCATGCAGCTCCATAGGAGCGGGCGCTCCTTCATCTTTCCAACAATCTGCCCAAATCTGAGAAGAGCAGGAGCGAGCGTGCACTCACAATGGAGCGGGCGCTCTTAACTGCTCTGCTACAATCTACCTTCAGTCTGAAACAGGAGGAGCGGGCATGCACCCCCTTTGGAGCGGGCGCTCCTCCTTGTTCTTTTGAATATGCCTTCATCTGAAGACATTAGGAGCGGGCGCGCATATCTTACGGAGCGAGCGCTCCTATTTTCAGAGCAAGCGCTCCTAACTGGGTACCCGACTTTTTTTTGATGGAGTGACCTATGTAATTCGGGGAGTATAAAATAGTTTTATAATAGTTTTCAGCAACTTTCCTTTTAGTTAGAAACTTAGTTCTTTAATTTAGTTGATGATTTAGTGTAGAAATTCTCAAATCTAATCATTGTGGAAGCGAATTCAAGGATTGTTCTCTAATTTTCAGCAATTGTACTCAACCTTGAAGCTTCAATCTAGTAACTTCTTTCAGCTTTCTCTATCTATTTTCTGATTTTATCTTGATATTGCAAGACTCTTTAAATCTCTCTTGAACTTGTTAATTTGTTGTTTCATGTTAGTTTTATCTTTGATAAATCACTTTTCCCTAATTTTAGAATTACTTAGAACCCTAACTTGGAACTTTGCATGTTACTCACAATGAGTTGTGAGTAGTCCTATTGCTAGGGGTTGGGTGAAACTCAACCTAATGGTTAATTAAGTGAGTTTGGGAGACATATTGATGATCGATTTGTGATTAAATTGATTATATGGAATTTCTTGTTAGTTCACTTTGATAGGAGTAGCTACCCTTTATTTTGGACTTGATGACATGATATGGGAATGTGAATTAAGTTTATCATTACTTATTTCAATTTGATTATTATCTCATTTTGCTAAACTAGTGAGGGATCTAAGTTTAGGAGTGTGAGTTATATTCTTAATTGCATGAGGTTTGTTTTACATGTAGTCTTTGCTATCTATTGTCTCTATTTGCTCCTAATATGCTTGGTTACCATGGTTGAGTGGATCCCATTCCCTAGTGTTTTTAATTACTTGATTTAGAAACAATAGCTTGTTTGTCTAATTGACAAACCCCCAAATCAACCAAAGTCTTCAAACTAGCTTAGGTTTTAAGATATTTAGCGATTATATCCCGTTCCTTGTGGATCGAACTCTTACTTATGATTATGCTTGGTTTGGGAGATGTTTGCTTATAAATGTGTTTGAGTGAGTGTGGAATGTGCGACCTTTCTAACGCCCATCAAAATGGTGCCCTTACCGGGGAACGGTGTTGTTAATTGCTAATTGATTGCTTGAGTCTAGTTCACCATTACAAGAAAAATACAAAAACAGTTTGTTTCTTTTTGGCTACACTTGAAGCCTTGTGTTGCTAATTTCAATTGTTTAGTGTGTATGCGCAGAAACCATAACCGAATTTTGGTACCTTACGATCCAGAGATTGAACGAACTTATAAAAGAAGAAGGAGAGCCGGTTTTAGGCCCTTGACTACTTCCCCAACTAGGGAGTTCAATTTCAAGGAACAACAAGAGAAAATGGGTGACCCACAACCACCATCGCAAAGACCTTTGAAGGAGTTGGGAACTCCGGGAGCTTATAGAGCTTCAAGTGGGATTGTTCCTCCAACAACCCCGGCCAATGATTTTAAGACTCGGCCTGCGATGATAAATTTGATTGAAAGGAGGCAATTTAGTGGAGCAAAGCACGAGTGCCCCCTTGCAAACTTGAACGATTTTGAGAAATATTGTACCACGATCAAGGTGAACGGAGTCACTCAAGAGTTTGTGAGACTAAAGTTTTTTCCTTTATCCCTAATAGGAAGAGCTCTTGAATGGCTTGAGAAGGAGGTAAGACCCAATTCTTTAAGAACATGGGATGAAGTCACCACGACTTTCCTAGGGAGATTCTACCCTCAAAAGAAGATGGCCGAAGCAAGGGCATTGATCCAAGGCTTCCGACAAAGAGCTAGTGAAACCATATATGAGGCATGGGAAATGTATAAGGAATATCAAAGGGAGTGTCCTCATCATGGTGTTCCCACATACCAAGTGATTCCAATTTTCTATGGAGGCTTGAGCCCCCAAGGGAAGACTAGTTTTGATGCGAGATCCGGTGGACCGATAATGAACAAGACGGAGGACCAAGTGATAGAGATCATAGAGGATGTTGTGAGGCGCCATATGGATTGGCAAGAAAGGGAAAGGGAGTCCTCAAGCAAAGGAGGGAATGCGGTTTACTCTGTCGATCACCTCAATGCTATCAACAATTTGACATCTCAAATCGCCAACCACGGCAAGGAGATGACATCAATCAAAGCCAAGCTTGATTCTCCCTCTTCACACCAAGAACATCCCTCCCAATCTAAGGGGAGAGGTATGAATTCTAATCCTTCTACTTCTTCCTCATCACATGCCTAGTAGGTGTCTCTTTTGTAAAAATTGTGGCTCTTATGATCATGATACTTCTTCTTGCACTTATGATTCCCAACCCCGACCCCAATATGAGGATGGTAATGAACTTGAAAATGAACATGTTAATGCTTTGTCTTATGATAATAGACCTAGATATGACAATCAAAGGTATATACCACCTAATCAAAGAGGGCAAGGGGGAAATTCCTATAATCAAAGAAATAATTATTATGATTACCATAACCAAAACCAAGGGGGTAATAGGAACCAAAGGGACCAAAATTTCCAAGGTAACTATAACCAACAAGGTGGTTATGGTAACCATAACCATTATAATTAAGGGAACTATGGGAATCAAAATCAATATCACCAAGGAGGAAACACCAATGCTAGGAACAATTGGAATAATAACAACAATAGAGGGTTTTCTAATCAAAATGCTTCTAATTCCAATGTGAGAGGTACTAGAGCTTTCCAAGATAATTAAAAAGAAGCTTCATGTCATCTATTACATGTCTAAGACCTTGAATGAAGCTTAACGAAACTACACAACAACGAAGAAAGAATTTCTTACCGTGGTACATGCTTTTGAGAAGTTTTAGAACTACCTCATTGGTTCCAAAACTATTGTTTACACTGATCATGCGGCTATCAAGTACCTAGTAGCAAAGAAAGAGTCTAAGCCCTGTCTTGTTCATTGGGTCCTTTCACTTCAACAATTTGTGTTAAAATCCGTGATAAGAAAGGGGCCGAGAATGTAGTGACGGACCATCTCTCCTGTTTGGAGAATGTGCAAGTAAGTGATGATAAGTACCCATTTTTGATGAATTAAAAGATGATGTACTTTATTTCTTAAATGAGAAAGAGCTTCCTTGGATCGCCGACTTGGTGAACTACTTGGCATGTGGGGAGTTTCCTCCCGATTTCTCTAAGAATCAAAGGAAGAAACTTAAAAGAGAGGCAAAACACTATTTGTGTGATGACCCCATTCTTTACAAGAGAGGAGTAGATGGTTTGCTCCAAAAGTGTGTCCCAGATGAAGAGGTGCAAAATGTGTTGAAAATGTGTTATTCTGACCCTTGTGAAGGCCACATGGGAACCAACAAAACAGCTTTGAAAATCTTGCAAAGTGGTTTGTGATGACCTCACATCTTTAAGGATGCATGGGGGTTTGTGAAGACTTGTGACCGTTGTCAATGAACCGGCAACATATTCAAGCGTAACGACACTACTACATTTTTTACCAAATGCAACGACCTAATAAAGGCTAATACAACGGTATTTTAATTGCCGTTGCAATAGAGTAGGCTATTGCCACGGATTTAACACTAATGTTCTTAGAGGTAGAGCTATTGCCATGGCTCTAAAGAACCGTTGCAATAGCCTAGCTATTTTAACAAAAATAAGAGCTATTGCAACGATATGTGTTGTATCATGAAAAATTTAGAAGCGCGCATTTCTTCCCTCTATTTTTTTCACCAAATATTTTGAACAACAGGTGTCTTTAATTTGCTTCCCTCTATTCACAATTCTCACGTACAGTACCATTTTCCCCTTTTTCTCCATTTTCCCCATTCTCACCTTAATTGATTATAGAGTACCATTTTCCCCATTTACTCCATTTTCTCCATTTTCCCCATCTTCTCAGATTCACATATTTTCACAGTAGATGAGAAGGAGTACGTTTTTGTCGTAGTTGTTGCATCCGCTTTAAAACCCAGACCTCAAAACCACCAACAATGGCGTCAGCTAATCTAGCAATGGTGCAATCACCGCCTGCACCACCACCGCGCTCAAACACCGACCTCTTCGGCGACCCAATCTACGATTTAACCCTTTATGGTTCAAGAACGACCTCTTTCTCCCTCCTTTCGACTCCGAACCCTACATCTCTAACCTCCAAACCCAGTCCTCTCTCGCTGCACTCAATTAATCTCAAGTTACTGGTATGCATTTTGAAATAATTAAATTTATTCTAGTATAATTCGTTGAAAATGGCTCAATTTAATTGTTAAATGCTATAATTTCTCAAAAATTGTGCTAGTATTTGTTTAATTAGGGTTTTCGTATGTAATTGCTTCCATAATTCTGATGTCATCAATTTTGTTAAATTAATTTTTCATTTTTGCTGGTTTGATTGAGAGAAAGAGAACGATTAAGGTGAGCAATCTTCTTGATACTCTTCCTGATCTACAGTCTTACCGTAGTACTACATTTTTTTTATCTTATTTATGGTTTCCTTGCGTTTTTGTTTAAATTTTTGTGTTTTCATTTTTCCTGATTCTGCTCAAATTTTTTATTCTTTACTATTTAGTTGATCTAAATGTATTGGCTGGCGAGATCATTGAATTGTTTGTGAGCTAATTGCAGCCCACCATCCCATTATTGAGTCTTTGGAAGTAGGTGCATGAGCAGTTGGTATGCTGGAACCTACAGGTTCTGCTTTTTGGCTAATACCTTGTAGTTTTCTTCGTAGTATCCTTTTTAACTTTTGTTGTTTAGTGTATGTTTGGCTTTAGGCTGTACTAGTTATGTGGCTTTCTTTTTGGTGAATGTTTTATTTCACAGCATGCATATTATCTTATGATTACCGATCTTCCACTGCTCTCCTTCTTAACACTCCCCTTTTTCAAAAAAAAAATTGAAATAGAGGGTCGTAATTGCTTGAAAACCAAACCCGATTTCCTCAGCTTTCTGTAATTCCTCTTTTTTTCACCCTTTGATTTGGATAATGAAGAGCCAATGATAGATTGATAGTAGTCTTAGTAGATTCTTAATTTTTCTCTTCAATGTGAATTAAGGCAATGACACTTGGGCGCTATCAATGTCTCATGCTTTGGTGTGACCGGATTTATGGAAGTTGTTCACTAGGAAAGTGATGTATCATACTATAGAATTTCTGCTTAACTTACTTTGCCTATTGAAAATGTAGAATAACATGCTCAGAAATACAGCAAGGTTCAGTAGCTAGATTTGATCAGTTTAACAAACTTAAACCTTTGTCTTTAACCTTTTATTTACTCTAGACTCTATAAGCTCTAAGTTTTTCAATGTCAACAGCCAAGAAACCTGGTGAAGTAGTACAGAACATAGCCAGCCAACTTGATCCCGGTATTCTTAGAATTTTTTTTTTCAATCAAACAGGTGTAAAGTTAGACAAGCCAGCTGAGGGAACCATGCCAGAGTATGAACCATAACTTTTATTTATGTTAGCTTTTATATGTGGCATTATTCTTTCTATTAGTTTGGCCTTTATCCTTATGCATGGTTTGGCTGTCTACTAGCTAAATGATGTTAATCTTCTAAGCTACTTGCTTAATTGTTCAGTAACTAATTCGTTCTCTGAACCTTGGTTTACAGTTGATATGCTCGTGCTTTTTTCTCTACGTAATGAGACATTGGAAGATCAATGCATTCACAAATGATAAATAGCTTAAAACTTTTGACAATCCAATCATTATTGTACCTTTCAAGACACTAGTTCAGACCCTGCCTCTCGCGTTCTCATACTTGCTATTCATGGTATATCTTCTATCTAATATAGTCACTATGTATGTAATTAAGATTCTAGAAGCAATTAATGTTGTCGAATTCTGTTGGCATACTCCATGAAATAAAGCTAGTTTTGATGGAATCTGTTCGTGGTGTAAATGTTCCTATGTACACAACTCTGAGGCGTACAATTGTGGCTTTTACTATGGTGGTCGAGTATTTAGTGGCATGTCAAAAGTATTCTCTTCGTGTTCTTGGCAGGTAAATAAATCGGTTTCTTGCAGCTTTGTACTCATTCTTATATTATCACATGAAAAGTCCTTATTTGAACTAATCTGACTCTCTTTAGCGCTTTTCAGACTTATTTTTTCATCATCATTATGTATTTAGAATCAAAGCTTTGTACTAATAGCGTATTTTCTTGCCCGTAATTTATGTATGAGGTTTGAAAACCAGACTTGTTATTGATATTAGATCAAGCTGAGAAAATGAGATGTTTATTGTTGCTAATATCATCTTTCGTAAAAATTTCCAAGGGATTTATCAGTGTGGCTATCATCATACTTGGTGCATTTGTAGCTGGAGCACGAGACCTCTCATTCGACTTCTATAACTATGATGTTGTGCTCTTATCAAATCTTTGTACCGCAGTCTATCTGACCTCAATAGCTCGTCTTGGTAGCATACATTTTGCTTTTTCATACCACAATCTTCTTTGTTTCTCGGTTCCTTCATATTATATTTCTTCACATTTAATTCAATCTAATCGTTTTCTCAGGAAAATCTAGTGGCCTAAATACATTTGGCCTCATGTGGTGCAACGGTACGTATTAGGACAAATGATTTTATGTGCTCCTAACATAGCATCTTGTATTCATTAGACTGAGTTGATATCCCTAGTTAGTTTAAGAGAACGCGTAATTTCAAGAGTTTTAGAAAACATCTTGTAGGAATCATATGTGGACCGATTTTGTTGCTGTCAACATTCTTCCAAGGTGATCTTCAGAAGTTGATTAGCTTTCTTCACTTATCATCCCCCGGCTTTCAGGTGCTTATTCTTATATAACTCCGAAAAAAATGATTGTACAACGTTTCACCTATGTCTTTAATCTGGCAGAATGAATACAGATTAATGGTAATTTTTTTTCCAGGCTGTCATGTTTCTTTCCTGTATCTTGGCATTCTTCTTGAATTACACTGTGTTCTGGAATACAGCCCTGAATTCAGCACTCACACAGACTATATGTGGCAACTTGAAGGTAAGTCATTACAATGCAAACATCAATGCATTATTACTTGTTGCTATGAAATAAAATGGCTCTTGTTTCTGACTGCAATGATATAACTGATGTTATAGGATGTTTTTACAATTGGACTTGGCTGGCTTTTATTTTGCGGCCTTCCATTTGACTTGGTAAGTTTATTGTTTTTGTCCTCTTCGCGTAATAATAGTTGATTTTGGCTCCCTGATTCAATTCTTTTGCTCTTGTTTTGGTCTTAGTTCAACATTCTCGGTCAAGGCACCGGCTTCCTCGGTTCTTGTTTCTATGCCTATTGCAAACTCAAAGGAAAGTAAGGGTTCTAAGGTATAGGTACCAGCACTCCAGCAGTAGTTCTAAGAAGTCACCTATGTTACCCAGATTTTGTTTAATTTGTGTCCAAAGGTCATAATTAATGAAAATTTCAACTATTTTGGAGTAAATTGTTGCGATACTTGCGCAGCAGCTCTCCTTATTTACATACCCATGTTAAAATGTTAATGTTTATTATGGATACTTAACGTTGAATGAAAAGTTTGAGTAAAATTTCTTTGTTACAGTTCATGTTCTAGTTTAAAAGATGTTTAGCAAACTTTTATGATGAGATTGAGTTACAGTTTTGTAGTGGTTAATTTGGTCATCTTCTTTTTATTAAAAAGAGTTGTAATTGGCTTCTGTTGTTTTGTGTTGCTATTTGTGAGCTGTTGGCTGCTGTTTATGTTATTGGCAGTCCTGCTAGCTGCTTGCTAGTTTCTGTTTGGCTGCATGTGGGGCTGCTGGGTGCAGGTTGCTGTCGTTGTGTAGGTTCTCTGCTAGTTCAGGTTCAGGCTGTTGGGTTGCCTGGTTGTTGTTTTTTTTGCCTGCCTCTGCTGTTCTAAGCTGTTGTAGGGTTGAAGAAGGCATCCTGGTTTAGACTTGCTTTTCCCTGTTTGCTTCTGGTTTGTTGCCTAGTTTCTGTTGCTGTCTTGCTCTAGTTTTGGCTGGTTACTGCTATTGTTGTTCCTTTTACTGCTGTTGTTCTATTTCTGCTGTTCTACACTGTCAGCTGTTGCTGTTTTGTTCTATCAGCTGTTGTGCTGCTTTCTGCCTGGTTCTGGCTGTTGCTGCTGTTCTACTGAGCTTGTTGCTGTTGGGACAACTTGTTGTGTTGCTGGTCTCTACTGCTGCTGTTGATGTTGGTCGCTTGCCTCTCAAAGATTGTAGTTGTTGTAGTTTTCTCAATTAATTTAATTAGTGAAATTTGATTTTGTAACTTTTCCCTTTAAGGGCAATAATGTACAAACCTTCAATTTATATTAATGAAATTCCAATTTAATCGTCTTAATTGTTGTTGTTGTTATTGTTGTTGTTGTTATTATTATTATTATTATTATTATTATTATTATTATTATTATTATTATTATTATTGGCATTAGGGTATAGGGAACCGTGGCATTAGAGTATAGGGAATCGTGACATTAGGTATAGGAAACCGTGGCATTAGATATTATAGCTAATGCCACGACAATAATGTTGTATAGCTAATGCCACGACAATAATGTTGTCGTTGCATCAGGTGTTGATCTAATGCAACGGATCATTGATGCCGTGGCATTAGGTGTCATATGTCGTTGCATTAGACCTACTGCAACGCCATCAGATGCCACGGTACATGGCCGTTGCATTAGGCCTAATGCCACGGATTTTGACGCCTAATGCAACGGAAATGAGGGTTGCAATAGGTCAAAAATGTAGTAGTGCGAGATGCCTCAACAACCAATCCTTGAGCTAGAGGTATTTGATGTATGGGGTATAGACTTCATGGGACCATTCCCTTCTTCTCATGGGAATAAATACATTCTTGTTGCGGCTGATTATGTCTCGAAATGGGTTGAAGTCATTGCCTCCCCAACAAATGACCACAAGGTAGTATTTAAATTATTCAAGAAAATCATATTTCCAAGGGCGGTGATAAATGATAATGGTTCACATTTCGTGCATAGAGCCTTCCAAAGGATGTTGAGGAAACATGGAGTTCATCAAATGTTTGGTCTAACCTACCATCCACAAATTAGTGGACAAATAGAAGTGTCCAATGGTCAAATCAAGTTGATCCTTGAGAAGACGGTTGCTAGAAGTAGGAAAGATTGGTCGGAAAAACTTGATGATGCTCTTTGGGCATATAGAAGGGCATTTAAGACCCCAATAGGCACAACTCCATATCGACTTGTTTATGGAAAATCTTGTCATCTTCCGGTGGAGCTTGAACATCGAACTCAATGGGCCATTAAGAAGATTAATTTTGATTTGGCTAGTGCGGGTGAACAAAGATGGCTTGATCTTCATGAGCTCGAAGAGCTTCGATTGGAAGCTGATGAGTGTTCTAATATCTATAAGGCTCGATCAAAGGAATTGCATGATTGAAAGATTGAAAAGAAAACATTTCTTGTAGGCGAAAAGGTACTTCTCTACAACTTACGAATGAAATTATTTCCCGGGAAACTCTAATCAAGGTGGAGTGGTCCTTTTATTGTCAAAGAAGTGTTCCCTCATGGAGCCGTTAAAATTTTAGATTTACGTGGACTGAGATCGTTTAAGGTCAATAGGCACCGCCTCAAGCTTACTATGGGGGTGCTCATGTTGAGTTGATTGAGTTGTTACAATGTATTCTTACCTCCTAAGTGTGGGGGTCATCAAGCTATTGACGTTAAAGAAGCGCTTTAGGGAGGCAACCCGAGTATAAAAAGAAAAAGAAAAAAAAAGAGAGAGAGAGAATAAATAAAATGAGAAAGTGGAAAAATAGAGAAGAAAGCGTGCTTGAACTGATTTTGCTAACATATTGGTTGAAAATGTGTTTATGAGATTTTTAATGTAGGATTTTGGAGCAAAAAGAAGCAAAGAAAAAAAAAACAGAAAAGCTGTCAACAGCTAGGAGCGGGCGCTCCTACCTCATTGCACGCCCGCTCCTAGCTCAAGCCCAGAATTAGAAAGCTTCAAAAGAAGCAGGAGCGGGCGCTCCTCAACTCATGCACACCCGCTCCAATATGCTCCAAGGGAATCAATAGCTACAGGTCTCAGAAGGAGCGGGCGTTCTTCATTGCATGCACGCCCGCTCCAAACTGTTTAAGCTAAAACAATACTATCAGATCTCATAAGGAGCGCGCGCTCCATAACAACTACACGCCCGCTCCGTTTCTGATAGGTAAATCAGAAGCTACATCTCAATTTAGGAGTGGGCGCTCCTCAGCAACAACACGCCTGCTTCGGGGTTTTGAAGGAAAAGTCAGGAACTCCACCAAGTGTTGGAGCGAGCGCTCCAAGAGTGCTGCATGCCCGCTCCTGTTTTGAAGGAGGAAACAGTTTGTCTCTGAAGTTATAGAGCGGGCGCTCCAGCAGTTCCGCATGCCCGCTCCAACATAATGTTGTAGCTAAATTAAAATTTGGAGCTGGCGCTCCTTGGATGCTCCACGCCCGCTCCATTCTGGGTTTGAAAATCAGTAGAAAATGCAACAAAAGGAGCGGGCGCTCCACACCACCAGCACGCCCGCTCTTGAAGGTTGTCGTAGCTAAATTAAAATTTGGAGCGGGCACGCCTTTAATGCTACACGCCCGCTCCATTCTTGGCTGCAAAATCATAATTGTTTTCTAAAGTAGGAGCGGGCGCTCCTGCCAAATGTCGTGGCTAACTTTAATTTTGGAGCGGGCGCTCCTAACTAACTACACGTCCGCTCCTTTCTGGGTCTCAATAAATAAAGAATTTTCTAAGGTAGGAGCGGGCGCTCCTATTGACCTGCACGCCCGCTCCTATTCTGGAAAAGGAAAAAGAATTGGTTTTGAAATGCAAGAGCGGGCGCTCCTTCCGATCCTCACTACACGCCTGCTCCATGTAGACCTGGTAAAAAAAAGAAAGATTTTCTTATCTCTTTTTTACCCACTTTCCCCATTCCCTCACCATTCATCACCATTTCATACTCTCTCTCCTCTTCCCATCTACTTTATCTCCCATTTCTCTCCAACTTCTCTCTTCATAATCCCCATTTTCTCATCAAATTCATCACTAAAAATTCACAAATTCTTGTTCTTCATTCTATTCTCTTTCTAGCAACACCAATTTCATCCAAATTCGAGCACAAAATTTCCAAACCCTAAAAGACCTCTATAGTTGAAGCAAGGAAAGCTTGGATTCTTGAAGGATTTGGAGCAAAGAAAGCTAGATTTGAGCAAAACTTAGGTGATTAAGAGTATTTTCATACTCTTTGGGTATAATATTCTTTACTTACTTCAATTTCCCTCTTAAACCCTAGTGGTTTTTCTTCCAACTTCTTTATTCTTGTTTATTTTTAATGAATTGTGTAGTTTACTTCATAATTTGTTGAAAATTTGAGAATTATTATGCTTCATGTGCTTAAGTGAAATCTTTAGTTAAGCTTGTTGTAAATAATATTTGGATTGCTAAGTTAAGTGATTGAAAGTTGTGATTTTTTATTTATTTTTTGGTGAATTTGAAATTGTTGTGTGTTGATTGGAAAATTTTGTTGGTTGTGAAATTTGTGTTGGAATATACTTGATTGATTGAAACGGGTACTTGGATTATTTTGGGGGTTTGAAGTTTAGGTGGTTGTGTTGTGATTTTGGTGATTGTGGTGTAGTGTGATTGAGTGAACCTCTTTACCCTTTTCCCTTATTTAGTCAAAATGATGTTGAGATTATTTGGAGGAGGAGGAAAGAAAAGAAAAACTCAAGATACCGCAATTCGAATTAATGAAAACCAATCTAATGAGAACCAAACCCAAAACCAAAACCAAAACACCGCTCCTCCCTCTATTAGAATCCCTAATAAGCATAAGAAAGTACATTATGAGATTTCAAAAAGAAAAATTCTTCCAACTAGATTCTATGACCAAGCATACCGTAAATTAGGGGTCGATGAAGAGGTTCGACTTGTGGCAGACAATTTCGGATGGTTAGAATTCCTTACAAAAAAGGGAACTAACCTACGAGTCGATCACACTAGAATTCCTTTCATCTATTTCTATGCGCCGAATTAACGGTGAAGGGGAGCCACTAGAGTGCGAAATTAAATTTTGGCTTTTAACTTCGAAAAGACCCTAACTTTGACACACCTCAACGAAATCTTTACTTGGCCTACCCTCAATCAAATATATGACCCCGATAGTATCTACCTCTCAAGTTATGAAGAAAAACCCGGTCTAGCCATGATAGCCACATCATCCACCCCGTACTCCGTATATTCATGAGCATTATGGGGTAAGCTTGCTTTTCGAAGAAGGACCTTGGGAAGCTCACTAAAGAGGAGATTAAATGCCTCTTTATAGCTTCCCGATTTGAGGGGGATCTTGAGGGTAATGTAAATATGGGATACTTGTTTATAAAAAGGTGTATAAAAATAAGGAAGAGTACGGAGTTAAGAGGAGAGATAAAATGCGGGAGTACGATCATGATTATCACAAAGGCATTGGGGTATACCAACTACCTTGACCAATTGGTCCCGGTAAATGGTTCTAATGTCCTTGACATTGGTGGACTTTCATCAATACATATGCTTGTTGAAATCCATGGTCGTGTGACCTGATACTCTTGGTTGGTCAAGAGTAAGCACTGTTGCATGCTTCCAAATGCGGCGGTAATGAACATCGTAGGGAACACTTGGCAAGTGCCAATTGAACCACTCCCCGCGGGAGTTCCTGACCCTTACCAACCATCCCAATTGCGTCGCCACAGTATTTCCACCATTCCTTGATTCATGGGCGGTTCCTCCTCTTCTTCTTCTTCCTTTGACCTAGAATCTGCTTTCAACCAACTCAATTTAACCAACCAAAGAATTTTGCAAGAGAACTAATACCAAAGCTACGTTTCTGAGATGACATATCAAAATCAAGTTGAAAGGGGATACTTTCCTCCCTATGTCAACTACCCTTACTGCCCCGTTCAAGAAGGGTCGGTTCCGAGTTGGAATAACAACCAACCCACCTAAACCTACTGGCAAGGACCTCGTAGCTCCATTTCGGAGTTACGATTCTATCCTCCCTTCAATTATACACAACCCGGGGGTTGTCACTTTAGGGGGGACCCTTCTTATTACCACGTTTGTGACACTTGTGGTAATATGACCCTCGAGGACATTGATAACCAACCCTTAAGGGGATACTTTGGGTTTCCACCCAAGTATGATGGTGTTTGGGGCGAGAGTAGTGCGCCGGATTTCTGCCACTACCGAAATCGTCCCAACTATGATCTTCCTTCTTATGTTGATCATGCCTCTTATTCAGGCGATGTAGACCCAAGTTACAACTACATGCCATTGCCACCAAGAGAGGATGATAG